AGGTAAAGCTGGCGGTGGAAGCAAACATACAGGACTGCAGCCACAGTCTCTGCACCAACCAGTTGTCGTAACTAGAGAGGAGCACAGGTTTGTTCCAGACTTAAAGTGGTATAAAACCCAAAAGAAACATTATAATGAAGGTACCAATTCTTAGATGTGATGGCTACATTCGGTTTCTTTTTTTAGTCTCTTATTTTGATGTGGTGATCCCACCAGTCTGTATGTCAACTAAATAGGCTGTCCTTTAGATGTAGCACAGTTGAGACAATCCATTTACCACCAACAGGAGTGCTTACAACGGTCAACTTTTATGTAAAACCTTTATTCCAAAAGGAACTAAACTGTTTATGTAACTGCTTACAGTGTTGACTGGAGCTTGGCTTTAATTTGTTAGTGTATTTAAATCTGCTAGTAACACTAACCCCCCCCCCCCCCCCCCAGAACACTGCTGCTGTCCAAAGTCATCTCTGTTGCTCCTTCACTCAGAATGGGGGCACCAGAACTCCAGGTGAAAATGAAGGGGGAAAAGCCTAAAAATGTAAACTAATGTAGACAAATCTATTAATAATTTGTAAGCTGCAATATATAACAATTTTTGGTTTTAATACTGCTTTAACCAGTTCCTGTCCGCGCTATAGCCAAAAGATGGCTACAGCGCAGACGGCTAGTTGGGGGAGGGCGTACTTCGGACACAGTTGATCACATGACTAAGAAACAGGTCAATCACAACCGCTTTTACCATGTGACCAGCTGTGTCCAATCACAGCTAATCACCAAGTAAATAGGAAATGCCGGTTATCGGCAGTCCTCTCCTCACACTGACAATGTGTGAGAAGAGGAGAGCCGGTAAGTGGCATCTCGCAGGGGAATATCTACACTGATCATCAGGGCATTGATCATCAGTATCCTAGTGATCAGTGTAGCCCTAACAGTGCAGCCAATGGTGCCCATCTGTGCTGGCAGTGCCTATCATTGAAGGAGAAAAATTACTTATTTACAAAACTTTATAACAGAAACTAAGAACATTTTGTTTTCTAAATTTTTGGTCTCTTAGTTTGTTTAGAAAAATAAAAACCCCAGTGGTGATCAAATACAACCAAAAGAAAGCTATATTTTTCTAAAAAAATGATAAAAAATTTAGTGTTGCATGACCGCGCAATTGTCAAAGGATGAAAGCGCTGAAAGCTGGTCTTGAACTCGGCAAAAGTGCCAGGTAGGCAAGTGGTTAAAGGACAAGTTCACCCCCCCGAAGAGCATGCAAAGCATTACACCCACGATCACTGAATCATGGATACAATTTCAAGATTCCTGCAGACAAGCCCTACAGCTTTCAGTCCATACCCCTGTACAGGCTGTCAATTTGAAAACTGCAGTGTTTGGGAATAAACTAGCGCACTCATCAGCGCCCTCACTGCTCATTGAGAATTACAAGATGTTTGCAGTGGTGGCCGACAGGACTTGGAGTTGACTCACAGATCCTAGTCAATGAATGACACGGCTACGCAGGTGGAGCCTCACACAGCCGTGCCGTTTTGAAAATCAACAGCAGGTAAGGGGACAGATAGTGCTGGAGCATGTGACACCCTAAATATGAGTGTAATATGCTCCAGAAGGTGAACTTACCCTTAAGGCTCCGTTCACACCAGTGCGGTTTTTAGTGCTTTTTGCAGAAACGCACTCCAGTCCATTTAACATGGTTTCCTAAGAAACATGTTCACATCTATGCTTTTTTGAGCTGCTGAGTTTTTGAAAAGGGCCAGGGACTTTTTTTTAAAGCAAAAAGCAGCGTTTTTGCTACAACAGAGTTCAATGGAAAATCTGCTGAAATGCATGGTAGTGCATTTTTGCAGCATTTTGCATTTTTATTCTGCTCATCATATAAAAAAAAAAAAAAAAAAAAAAAAAAAAAAAAGCTGAGCAGAACGTGGTAAAAACATGTTAAAAACGCATCGAAACTGTGTGTAGAAAAACACAAAACAAACTGTGCAAAGCACTGCAAAATGGACAAAACGCAAACTGCATTGGTGTGAAGGGAGCCTTAAAGTGGATTTTGTCAAGTCAGCAGCTAAAAACTGTAAAAAAAAAAAAAAAAAAAAAAAAACACGCACTCACCTGTCCCTCGATCCCGCGGTGTCCTCCCCTCAGCACGTTTTACCAGCCGTCCTGTGTTCCCGGAATCTTCAGTATGGGCACCCGGCTGTGACAGCTTGTGGTTTCACAGCTGGTTGCCTACTGCGCATGCATAAGTAGCGCTGTGAATGGTCCCATAGTCTTATACAACCTGTCAAGTGTACCAGAAGACTATGAGGGGGTGGACAACTTCTGCTTCCAATCGCCTAGGTGATCTCAACAGAAGTGGGGGGCGGTCACCTGTCAATTTCGGGTACCCCCCCACCCCAAAAGGTGCACATCCTTAACGGGGAGTGGGGGACCAGTCCTTAAAGCAGAACTTCCCCTTCTGAGTGAAGCTTCGCTTTAAGTTTGGATTAAACCTGGAACCAAGCAAGCTTTCCCTCCCGCCTAATCAGCTGCTGCATTCCCACCAAGAGTGGTGGGGATGCTGGTGACATCATTGACCAAATAAGGCCCCATGGCCATATTGTGTCAATGACATGGTCCAAATATGGTCTCATGGCTGCATTAAGTCGGTCATGTCACGAGCATCACCATCCCTTTGTTGCATGCAAGAGAATACGCTAGCTGTGGCTGATCGGGTACGAGTGGTAGTTTGTTGCTGGGTTTGTCCTGAACCTAAAGCTGACCACAAAGGGATTTGGCTGGTTCAGGAGGGACTGGCTAAATTTCCTGCTCAAGAGAAGTCGTTCTAATAATAGACTTCTTTTGAATGTGAATGTTGGATTTCTCCATCCACCTTTCTTGTGTGGATGGGGGAATCTGTTCAGTTCACCCCACCAACAGTACATTTGCACAGTGGATAACCATACATGTCACAGCATACATAGCACACCGCATTGCTGAGCAGCGACATAAATAATGGGTCATTTTGTACACTTCATATAAAGTGAAGAAAAAAAAAAAAAAAGCTGTGTGCTGCAATAAAACATACATCATAACACCCCTGCTGCACGCCACTGCAGTTCAAAGGCTTCCCTCACAATTTCAGTGTGCAGGCAGATGCGTTGTGAACAGGCCCTACGTTTATACCAAACCCATGCTGTGGTAATAACCATGTAAACGGACTGTCCCAGCATAAGCCTATGTAAACGTGTTCACATGCCTGCCAGCCTGCATTTTCCTGCAACACAGAGTCCAATAACACTGCCCTGGACATCTGTCACATGCTAAACTGCAGCAGTTTAGTGTGCGGCAGCTGTCAGTTCCAGCTGTAGTCAGCCAGAATAGGGAGCTGTGTAATACACATTTCAGCACATCAGTTTTTTTTTTTTTTTTGTACCAACTTTATTTGAAGCATGCAAAAGTGATATTTCATTCATGTCACTGTATAGCAGTGTGGTGCACTGTTCATATATATCACCCCACCTGTCCAAGTAGGAAACAGGATGTGACAGGGAGGCTGCAAGAGCTGCCTGGAGCACTGTGACCCCTGACAGTTGGGGGGGGGGGTAAAAAAAACAACTCAACTAAGGGGTTTTACCACCCCCTATAAGTCTGCATTCGCACGAACATGCTACGGTTTACCCTTGCCGCAGGTGTAGCGTAGTGTGCACCGATGGCTTTTCTGCGAGCTAGCCGAACTTTGCCATAGACTTCTAATATATTGTGTGGCTGCGGTGCACCTACTGAAAGTATACCAAAACTGCATTTGCGAGATTTGGTGTGCTCTCAGAAAGCGCACAACACCCGCGCTGCACTCGTGGATCCGTGTGACAGAAGCCCATTAGTTAACCTTTTTATATGTGCTAACATGCCCACTGCAGAAGTGCAGTATGTGTGTAGGTTAATACACCGACCTTTTCCTCTTCCAGCTTCTGCTGGCATCGCTCTCCAGGCTGCTAGAAAGGTCCCAAGCAAAGTGCACTTGATATCACTCCACCTGTGACAGGTTATTTTGACACGCTGGGACGGTGGGTCGACAAGCCCAGATCACGATCAATGGGTTGCTGACCCCGAACGTGTTTTTCTGTTGTGAAGTCGAGGGCCACATCAGAGGGCTCTGTGGAACGCAGCCACAGCTAGAGCACCCTTGGCCTAAGCATATGTATGTTAGAGTGGGCAACCTGAGGCGGCCCTCCAGCTCTTGAAGAATTACAAGTCCTGTTGTGCCTATGAGTCATGCTTGCTGTCAGTCCTGCAATGCCACATGGGACATGTAGTTCCACAACAGCCGGAAGGTCACAGTTTGACCATCCCTGGTGGGAAGGTGGCTTTGCACACACCACAAAAGCTGGGCATTTTCCTGCATGTGTGCTGAGGGCCCATAGGAGACAATGGTTTCTGTCCTGTCACACCATACACGTGCAGGAAAAGGCAACACAGCGGTGAAGAAGCAGACAGGCGCAGGCTGACATCTGGGGGGGGACAAACAGGTGTCTGACCCCGGTGCGATCAATCATTCCCTAGACAGAAGTCAGCCGGTGTCTCCCAATCCTGATAGTGGGTTTGGCTAGCCATGGTCTCAAGTCTATGGCAGGCTATAAGGACACACAGACTTCCTGCCAGGGGCTCCTCTTGTCTCCTGTGACAGGTAGATGGTGACAACAGGTCACCCTGAGCAGGAACATGTGGTCACCCTCTGAGCACCCTGCCATTCTCCTCCTAGGATGCCCTGGCCTTCCCATGACCCCATAATCCCTCCCCGGCCTGTGTCTACGGCCAGGCCTGACATGTGCCGGGTGTGGCGGGAAGAAGGCTCAGGCCTCGGGCTCGCAGTGACGGAGAGCTGTCAGCACCCCCCCACACACACCCACTTCCGCGCCCCGCAGCCGGCTTCAACCCTGACTAGGCCCCAAGCCTCCGACCTGTCCACCGCTTCACAAGCCGGAGCGGACAGCAGGCCTTGGCGCACACATGAAGGATACTTGTTGCACGGCTCTCTGGGTGGACGTGTCCGGAGACTGCGACTCTTTCAGCAGCTGCAGGATCTGCTGGAGGCCCTGCTCGTCCGGCTTCCACTCGTACTCCATGCTGGGGGGGCGCGGGACACGGACACGGCGCGGCTTTCCCGAGGCGGAGAGGAGGAGGCGGCCTGCCTGGCCGGGAAATGGAGGCGGCTGCGTCGCGGTCCTACTGCCCGCCAACACCACCACCACCGACCGACCGAGTGCCCGCCCACCGCTACAGGCTCAGACACATCGCGAGGAGCGCCACCTACAGGCACATGAAGGAGGAGCCCTCCTTGTGTGCACGGCTGTGTGTGCTCAGCTATCACCTCACTAGTCTGCCACTCTCATAGCAACACTCCCCAATGTCTGCAGGGTGACCTTCATCACCATATATATATATATATATATACATCAATAAAGTATATTTAACAACAATTACTATAAGACAGGATTTATAGTGATAACAAATTGCACAGCACTTTACAATATGAAGCCATATAACACATCACTCAGCCATAACATTATGACCACTAACAGGCTAACGCAACAGAAATATGCAGCCTTCTCGGTGCGTGGGCCTTAACACTGAGCGGTCGCATGTATGCGTACCTAAAAAAAAAACAGACCTGTGCCAAGAGCGCACACAGTGCATGCTCATGGCACAGTTACCAGCGGCTAACAGCTCCCACTCTCTGCAATCAGGAGCTTTCTGAACATGACAGCCAATCACGGCAGACCCCGCCCCTGACATTTGAAACTCCTTAAAAAACTGCCAGGTGGTACCGGCGTCAAGGGGTTTAAGTAGGACTAGAGGCATTTTTCCCCCCCCCATTTTGGATAGTGTAAGGCCGGCCATACATGGGTCAATTTTCTAACAATTTTTCATTTGAAAATCGGACCTAAGAATAATCGGCTGATTTTCACTCTGTTAGTGGGGCAATGGCACAGGCCAATTTTTGTGGTTCCTACACATTTTGTTTATCAGGCATGCTGGAAACATTATGAAAAAAGACCGATTTTCGAAATCATTGGTGGCAACATTGGATTACAGAACGAAAGATGTTTTTGATTTTGGATCAAAAAATTGTTCACAATTCGACCCATGTATGGCCTGCTTAAGATTTTTTTTTTTTTTTTCCATCTGTGTCCCATTGTGGAGATTTCCCTTCACTTTCTGTCCCAAAGCCAAACATGAGGTGAGAGGATATCCCTGCAAATTAAGGGAATTCCCTGGGGACCCCCAAGTCACCAGAACTAGTGACCCCATTGGAAGATTTCTCTGCTATGATTTTCTGGAGACAATTCAAAATTTGGGTTTTTGTTTTCTTTCATATCAATGATAATGGTAAACAGGACAAATAGAGAGGGGGAATTTCCCTAATGGCTGTACAGACTGCAAAAAAAAAACCGACAGGTGTTCTAATCCCTCTCCACTTTATCCCAAATTAAAAAAAATATTTTTAGTTATACTTTAAATTATATTCTGATGACAAGCAGGGATTCTCTCACTTTGGAGGGATTTCCTTTCACTTCCTGTTTTGGCTATGGGACAGGAAGTGAAGGGAAAACTCTTCAATAGGACACAGATAGTATTAAAAAAAAAAAAAAAAACCAAAACCTGACGGGGTTATAACCTTCCCTTTTGTTTATCCAAATTAGGAAAAAAGTTTTGCCATTCTACTTTAAAGTGGTAGTTAACAGAAAAAAAAATGGGCCCCTGCAGGATAACGTCATAATGTTCTTGCAGTGCATTATTACATGTCAGATTTACCCACAACAGTAAAATTAGTCTGTATATGCAGTAAGGCTACGTTCACACTAGCCTTGTTTTCAAGCACCAGAAAGGTGTTTGGGAAGCGTTTTTACCGCTTCCCAAACGCCTCGGACAATTCTGCCCATTGCAGCACATGGTGCTGTTCTAGCGGTAGCGTCGCAGCGCGTCGCGGCAAAACAGATGCCTCTGGTCAAGTCAGGAGGCGTTGAAGCCTCCTATTCTAGTCTATGGTGCATTCCGCAAACTCCCGGCCAGCGTTTGCAGTGCAGTTGCGAAGCGGTTGCGGGGAGTTTGCGGAGCGGTAACACCATCCAAACTTCGTTATAGGCGTTTGTGGGGCGTTTTTAACGCTCTGCAAACGCCTAGCAACCCCTGCTGAACCGCGCATGCGGCGTTTGCCGAGCGTTAAAAAACGCCCCGCAAACGCCGGACCAATGCTTGCCAAACGCTATAGGGGCGTTTGGCAAGAGTTGGTAAAACAGTCAAGTGTGAACGAGCCCTAAAGCATGCTTGTTATACTCACTGTGGAACCTAAGGGGTTAATCCTCTGCATTGTGTAAAAAGGCTGTTTGATCCTGTCTTCTCTGCCTCTCCTCTTGTTCAGAGGTCCACCGTCTGATCTCCAGATAAGACATGCTGAACCCATAGCCACATGAGCGTCTCCATAGCGTGGCTCCATAGACACATAGCTCAGGAGCGAGCAGACAGCATGTGCCCCCATAGCAAACAGCTTGCTATAGGGACACACAAAGAAGAGGAGGAGCCAAGTGGGCTGGCAGGGGACCCAAGAAGAAGAGGATGGGGGCCGCTCTGTGCAATACCACTGCACAGAGCAGGTAAGTATAACATGTTTGTTATTTTAATTTTTAAAAAATAAGACTTTAGTAACATTTTGGATCTGCTACTGATTGGCTTGTTGCCAGATACCACAGCATACCTTCAGAGGTCTAGTAGCATCCATGCCTCAATGTTTTTATGGCAAAAGGGTGACCTACTCGATATTATGTGGGCGGTCATTTTGTTATTGCTGATCAGTGTGTTTCCACACCTGGGACTACAGCTGCCTTGTATAGCCACCTCATACAAAGCTAGGTTCACACCTATGCAGGTTGCGTTTGACCCGTTTATGCATTGAATTTTGCGTTGCATTTTTGCACCTGCATTTGTGACGCATTTTGCATTTTAAAAATTTTTCTTGTTGCTAGGCAGATTTAAAACGCATCAAAAACATAGCAAAAACGCATTACATGCTTTTCTGCAGCATTTCCATTGAAGTCTATAGAACCAAAAATGCGACTTTTTGTGTTAAAAAAAGTCCCTGACCCTGTCCAAAAAACGCACCGGTTGAAAACACGGAGATGTGAACATGTCCCATAGGAAATCATGTTAGATGGACTGTACTACATTTCTGCAAAACGCTGCGGAAAACGCTTAGGTGTGAACCTAGGGTAATGAATGGCTGTACAAGACTTTACTCAGGTTAAACGCTGCTACCAGTGAAGCCCACCATGTGTACAACCCTAGACAGAGACAGTCCATATCCAGAGGCAAACATAGTTATGCATGTAGTAAAAAAAAACCTGAAAGGTAAAGGGATAAATAAGTGTTCCTTGCTGTTCTCCATGCCACTCAGTAAACTTAGCCACCACATACTCTACAGCAATGAGCCAATAGAAATGTTTCAAAGTCTACACACCAAAAAATCCAAGGGGCTCCCACCTATTCCTCCCAATCGTCCTTCATTTGGAACCTGATCCCTCTATGCTTCTTTCCTTCTTCTCACTTATAAAATATATTAAATGTAACACTTGAAGAATTCCAAGCATTGTATCATTTTTACATGGTTACATTGATCCAGCTTGAATAAATGTAACTATGTACAGTGTAAACCATACCTGGCTGATCTTTGTGGAAGCTGTTAACCACTTGCCTACCAGGCACTTTCACACCCTTCCTGCCCAGGTCAATTTTCAGCTTTCAGCGCTGTCACACTTTGACAATTGCGCGGTCACTCAACACTGTACCCAAACAAAAATTTTATAATTTATTTTAGACAGAGCTTTCTTTTGGTGCTATTTAATCACCACTGGGTTTTTTTTATTTTTTGCTAAATAAACTAAGAAAGACTGAAAACTTTGAAAATAACTTTTTTTTTCTTAGTTTCTGTTATAAATTGTTGTAAATAAGTAATTTTTCTCCTTCACTGATGTGCACTAATGAGGCTGCAGTGATGGGCACTGATAGGCTGCAGTGATGGGCACTGATAGGCGGCACTGATGGGCATCAATGCATCACTGGTTGACATTGACAGGCATCACTAATGGACACTGAAAGGCAGTACTGATGGGCACTGATAGGTGGCACTGATTGGAACTGTTAGGCAGCACTAACTGGCACTGATAGGTGGCACTGATTGGAACTGTTAGGCAGCACTGACAAACATTGATAAGCGGCACTGATGGACACTGATAGGTGGCATTGACTGGCACTGATAGGCAGCACTAAAAGGCAGCTCTGATGCGCATTGATATGTGGCACTGATGTGCACTGATATGTGGCATTGATGTGCACTGGTATGTGGCATTGATGGGCACTGACAGGTGGTCCTGATGACCAGTGTACATTTTCTCTCTGAGGAATGCCGATCAGCTGTGATTGGACACAGCTGATCACATGATAGAGCCAATTCCATCGGCTCTTTACTGTGATCGGTGATCTGATCTGTCTCAGGGACACAGTGCACCACCGATCGCCCCCTGGGGGTGCGCATGCGCAGCTAGAGTGGGAGGAAGTCATATGACGTCCTCCCAAAATGAGGGACTCATCGCCCTCCTGTCATTTCCCTATATGGCGGGCGGGAGGCAGTTAATCACTGCAGTAGACACCACTACTTCTGTGATCTCCATTTACTACCAGGTCCTGTACTGACCGGCCACCCTGCAGCATTGTGATCACATGAGGTCAGCCTCTCAGCACAGGAGCCATTCAGAAAATGCTTTGCATTTCCACTGTTCACACAATTGCACTGCTGTAATGTGCATTTTACATTTTCAAGCACTATGAAGCCTATCATTTTTAATTGCACCCCAATGTACCTTGCCAATAGTGTTGGGTGAAATTTACAGCAATACATAGAAGCACACTAGGTTATGTTGTGGTGCTCTGTGCTACAAAAAATAGCACACGCACCTTTTCGGTGCAATAGGCAGTCCTTTCAAGCAAATGGGCTGCCTTTTAGGCAATACATGTTAGTGCCCAAAATAAGACATGTTAATGCCTCTTGCATAGTCTAACCAGTGTACATTCAGTCTGGGCATTTTAGTGCACCCAGGTTGTCACTTTCATCCTGGACATTCTACCCTGAACGCACAGGGCGCTCAACGCCAGTACCACTTGGTATATCATTCAGTCCATCATAGACTTTGAC